TTTTGTCCAGCTTTAACATCGGTATCGATATCGGTTATCGGCTACATGAGTTTTAAAATATCGGCATATCGGATATCGGCCAAAATCCCAATATGGTGCATCCCTAACCCCAACGTTTAATAGTTGTGGCTCATATTTTGTGAGACAAACTGACAGAAAGCGTTTTTTAAATGTGAAGTGATTGATAGACTTATTTTTACACTTACTGCTGTTCGGGAGTGTAAACTTTAAAAATGTGAAAGATTTTCCTCCATAAGATGAATAAAAAAAGCATAGACATTTTCACTATAAAGCACGGCAGTAGAAGCATGAGGCTGTGGTGCAGATGGGTGTTAAAGCATATTTAAACGTTTAGGCTTCCGATCCGTTCTGATCTTTCTCACTGTTTTCCTGGCCTGCAGCGACCTGTCCTCCAACCACCTGTCCCGGCTGGAAGAGTCCAGCTTCGACGGCCTCAGCCTGCTGGACCAGCTCCACGTCGGAAACAACCGCGTGAGCTTCATCGCCGGCGGAGCTTTCCGCGGCCTCCCCAACCTGCAGATGCTGTAAGCTTCTTTACGTTTACCTTAAGTCAGTTTTTATGAGACGCAGCTACAGGCCGCCAGCCGTCGTGTGCTAACCGATTTGAGCTGCTAACTCATCCTAATGCTGGAGGGGAAATATTCTGCTAGATTTGCTTTGGGGTTGTGAAGTAGATTATAATCCCCACTGCCACCGTCCTTTCACTGCTCAGATTGCTGTCTCACCACCCACCCAACCCCCCCTTCCCACAGAAAAGCTAATTTCGCGGTGGAGGCTAACTAGAACCAAATGTGAGCGGTGCTGCTGAGGTCACCGTAGGGCAGGTGTGCTTCTAGGTGCACATGTATCGCTTCAGACACCCCCCCCCAATACACAGTGACATGAAAGCGCACACTCACACCCTTCCTCCGTCTCAATCAGCCATGGCCAAGCATGCTGAGGAGCAAAACAACAGTTTGAAGCCCATAAATCAGCCAGCCGATCAAAGGAGGCATTTTTTTTTCTGCGAAATTGTCGGCTCTTTAGTAAACTTGAGTTGTTTTTTTCTGTAAATATTGGGAAGGTTTACAATTTGAGTTTTCTTTAAAAAAAACAAAAAAAAACATTTCAGAGTCTGGTTAGTTCATGTGGCTAAACTGTTGGTGTACGGAGTGAATTTTGTTGCTTCATTATTGAGCTGATATTGAAACACTGGGTGACTTAGGCTACGTTCACACTGCAGGCCTTAATGCTCAATTCCGATGTTTTTGTGAAATCCTATTTTTTTGCGTGTCCGTTCCCACTTCCAAGTAT